TTGCTCTGTGGAAGATAGAATCATTTCGTGGAAAGAACATGGATTCTGAATCAGGCAATCCTGAATAGGACTCTCAGCTCTGCCATTTACTAAAAGTGTGACTTTGGAAAATCACTTAACTATACTGAGCCTCAGTTTCTCTATCTTCAAAACTGTAGCACTAATATATCCCTCAGAGGTGTAGTGCTTGGGAGTTCAATGATATCAGCTCCCTTTCTGTCATAACTTAAAACAAAATTAAACTAGTAGAAGTCAATCCATGGCAGGAGCTCAGGCATCATTTAGGGTTTCACTCATGATTCCCACAGCAAGAGTAAAGAGGGAATTCCCACCACGTTGAAGTGTATTGTTGCTGTGGTTTTAAAAACTGCTATTGGAAAGTGTAACATGGTCTGGCAAAATAGTCTATCGTCTGTCAAATAGCAACAGAGAGAATATTTTCTTAAAATTTTCAATTGAAAACAAAGACACCACAGCACTTTATCAATAACGCTGGTACATCCTTTATCTTTCTCTCACTGAATAGCCAAGGTGGCATTGAAGCAGCTCAAGGGCACGTGGTCAGGAACCTTTGGCAGCCGAGGAGTTCAACTCTTAGACACCTAGAGGAAAAGCCAGACATGGGGTCAAGAGGAGATAAATGCCAACATGTGGGCAATTTTCTGTTTGCAAAGCCCATCAGGAATTACACGAAAGGGCAGTCTTTTTCCAATTCTGGAGGCAGGAGTCACTCCTCTCTGAACCATGAGGTGACACTGAGGGATATTTTCACAAACACCTCTGCCTTATAAACATTGACCTATGAGGAAACCATACAGTGGGTTCACATTGTAACCATCCATCATGTGGGTGGCTCAGGCCAGAGAATTTTTGTGTGTAACTGAATTTTCAGGGTACATTTTGGCTCAGTCTATTACACGACACACTTCTCCACTTCAATCTTGGTGGAATATTTCTAAAATGTTTAAACCCACAATTCTGACTTAGTAAGGAGAGAGGCCATTGAGTGAAACGGAACTTTTCTTTGACGGATTGTAGTAGCCATATATCTGGGCATGGGTGTTCATTGTCCATGGATATTCACTGTCTGGCTATCAGTGGGGAGAGTGAAGAGGTTTGGGCTGCATCTGCTGGCTCTCAGGGCAGCTCAGGAAAGCCATTTGCTGTTTTCTTGCTTGTTTATATAAACAGATTCCCAAAGTGAGTTAGCTTTCATGTATGTCTTTCCCATCAAACTGGAGTGAAGAATATGGATCCAATTCCCCCCTTCCTTCAAAATGAAATCTGGGCAATTGCATGTTAATCAAGGTACCAGTGTATCTTGGGGAATCAAGGAAAAATCAGACCAATGAGCAACTCTAGTCTGGAGACTTTAATATGCTGCAGTATTTACTGAGGGGCTGACTATGTGCAGGTTAAGCACTTCCCGTGCACTATATCATTGAATCTTCCCAAACTACCGTTAGCGGTGTATTATTATTATCTCCATTTTACAGATGGGGAAACTGAGACCTGAGAAGGTTATGTAATTTCTGCAATTACTTGATAAATGTCTGGGCTAGATCTTGAACTCTGTCCTGACCAATTGCAGAGGCCATGCTACATTCTGTGGTCTTGCCAATCATCTCATGCTCCTGACTAGATGTGATGGCCATCACCTGGTACATTCACTGGTTTTACAAATATGTATTGGGACTGCTTATTAAGTTCCCCACCTGGTTCTAGGTGCTAGGGATATACTGATGAATGGGATAGACTTGGTTCATGCCTCAGCAGACCTACAATCAAGGGACACCAGGTTAAATGTTTGGAGAATGAATGAATGAATTGAACAAATGATAATTCAACCCCATCACTGCTTCTTGTACAGAATCCAACGAAGTTTATCCTCTGACATTTCCCCAGCATGTGCTGATCTTTTACCCCTAACTGGGCAGTGAACTTTTTGGGGACAGAGACCATTCTGCAGTCACGTGCTTTGTATGACCACATGTTTTATGCCCAAATCCATGAACCGTAGACAGAAAAGAGCTCTCTTTAAACACAAATGAGTTTGATTACAACAAGCAAACTATAAACTAAACTAAACTAAACTAAATTAGAAAGGAAGGCAGGTTGGGGAAGTATTTGTCTCAGGAACAACCAACAGCTACCACCCTCGTCTCCCCAGAGTTGGTTGTGAATGAATGGGACATATTTAATGGCCCCCAGGTATTCTAATAACTGGAGTGAGTGGAATTGTCTAATCTTCTAATTTTAAAATTAGAATGGAGCTTGGAAACCACATAGTTTAGCTTACTCATTTTTCACACGAAGAAGCTGAGGTCAGAGAGTTTCAGTGACCGGTTCAAACCAACCTGATGTTCTGGATATTAAAGCCGCCAAGAGAAATTTATTTTTCAGAGGTATTTTTGAACTTTGCAGTTAACCTTAAAGGCTGTCCAAGCCTCCCCTTATTTACTGGATTGAAATTTTTAGAAAATGAGTCTGGTTAGCAGAGGTTGCAGAGCTTTCAACAGCAAACCATTTTTTAAACAACTTCTCTCCTGCGTGGTAATGATTTCGTTAATGAAATGCATTTCATCATTCACACCATGGTCACATTATGCCTTAATAAAGAACCCTTGAAAGAACGTTTATTATGATATTTGCATTCCATTTTGTGCAGTCACATGCTGGATTCCTGGGTAACCCTGTGGGTCAGACAGTCCCTCAGTCTGCTCCTCACCAGACCTCCACTCACTGGAAATGCTCAAGACCTCCATGAGTCAGATAAAGTCCCGTGAACTCCCATAACAGTCAGAGAAGAAGGGTGGAGGAGAAGAAGAGCACATCAACCGTATCCAAGGTTGGGGAGAGCTCCCCATGTGAGATCCTTCAGAGTTTTCTAGAAGATTAGGGGTGCCCCCTTACAACTAAGCTATTCTTTGGTTCTTGTCAAAGACAAGCTCATTCATTCATTCAGCAAACATTTCAAGAGTTCTTCCTTTGTGGAAGAAAGGGTTACTCAAGGAGTGTCAAATAAATTTTCATACTGCACATTTAAATCCAAATGTACTGCAGACATTTGCTATGTATAGGCACCTTGCATAAATCCTGGAGAGAGTTAAGAAACTCTGTTGTAATATCCATCCATTATTTAACCAAAGAGCTACTAGGTTTTGAGGGAGAACAAGACACTGGGGCTAAGTGGAAGAAATGAGTTGTTGAGGGTAATGTGATGAGTTCAAAAAGAAAAAGACATCTGGGTTGATTTTTTTAATGCCAAAAGAAGAATCAAATATAACAGCAGACACTATTTATCACCTAAATGCAAAGCTCAGAAAGGGGGGTGGGCCACCAAATAGTGTATGAAGGCTTCCACAGTTACATTGGCACAGATGCCCTGACTCTCTCCTAGGCAACAGCTCTCATCTCTTCCCAGTAATATTTGAGTCTATTTGAACATGCTTAGGATGCATATGCTATGCAAACATGCAGTATGGAATAGAGCGAATCTGTGGTCATGGGGTATGTGTGAGGGTTGAGCTGGGTGTAGAAATTCAACATGAAACGTGGGGGAGTGGTATGCAAGGTCTCATGAAGCTTCAGATTTAGCAAAGCCTGTGTCAGTCAGCACAACCTGTGTCCTTGGTATTATAAATTTGGCTCAACCCCTCTTTGAATGATTCCATCTGGAAGTCCTAAGAGATTGGGGAACTGGAATTCCTAAAGATAGACTTTTGGCTCCAACACTTTCTAAGCTCCCAAGTATTTGCCCGGCCCTCTGCTGGGCACCAATATGCTGTTTTGTGAATCTGATGTTTGTAGACCATGGCTACCACAAGCATCAGAGACGTGTGAGAGTGTCTGTGCTTTGGTTTCTGTTGTTAGTTTATAACAGAATTAGGATATTTCATACTGGAGTCGATCAGCAAGCGTCTCCCATCCCATCTCTAACGAGGAGCTTGGCAGCGGGGGAAGAAAAGATGATGAGAAGCTGATAATAAAGGAAAGCACGTGGTCTGTGAGTCTTCTGCCTGCCCAAAGTTTGACTTTGCTGTGGTCGTTGCTTCCATCCTATAGAATCCTTCCATGAGTGATGTGGTCAGGAGCCTGGGTCACTGTCACACTCCCTCACTTACGAGTGGGGGAGGGTAGTGGCTGGAGCACAGGCCCTGAATGATAAAGACACAGGTTCAAGTCTCAGCTCTGTCACCCACAGGCTGCTTGATTTGGGGCAAGTTAAATTAGCCTCTTTGAGTCTCAGTTTCCTAATCTGCAAATTGGGATAATAATTGTGCTTCCTCTTTGGATGGCTGTGAGATAATGAGACAGTGTGTATGAAAGGTCCAGCGCAATGTCTCCTGCTTGGTAAGAACTCAGTTAGTGGTAGCTCCAGCCTGCCCACCCCAGTAAATGTTTCCATCCTGAAGAGCAGAAGCTGCCTGGGATGGGAACGTGCACGCTTACCGACTTCTCAGAGATGGGACAATGCACGGATGACGGGTGTTACCCACTAAAGGTCGAGGCATTCAGAGACAAAGTGTCCTGGATTCTATGCCTAGGTTCCCTGGGAATTCGCTAGGACAGATGGTGGACAATGAAGGGGCTGAGGTGTCAGTGGGACCACACAAGCATCCAGCTCCCCCACGTACCCCTCGCCTACCCACCCTGCCCCATACACCAAGGTAGAACTTGATCTGGGTCAGAGAGAAAGCAGCCGAGGGGTCTGGTCCTTAATAACCTGCGTCCCAAGTAGAGAGACCCAGAATATATATAGAGATATAGCGAGATAAAGAGAGACAGAGAAATAGAGAGAGACAGAGAAAAAAAGAGAGAGGGAGAGACAGAGAGAGAGTGATAGAGAGACAGAGAGAGAAAAAGAGAGACAGATATTTTAAGAAAGAAAGAGAGAGACACAGAGAGATAGAAAAGAGAGTAGAAGAAAAAGTTGGAGAGAAAGATCTAGAAAGAACAGGAAAGTAGAGGAGAGAGGGGAGAAACAAAACCACGCTTACCGACGGCCTTCAAGGAGGCATACTTGTTGAGCTCTTTGCCCGGTGGCTGCTGTTCGTAGGGGTTGGAGATCTGGCCCAGGTTGGGGTAAGAATGTGGATGGCCCATCTGCTGGAGCAAAGGGGAGGTGGGCACTGCGTTGTTCATCTGGGTGGTGTCTGGAAGTGAAGAGACAGAGGGAGATGGTCTCAGACAAGGCAGGGCATTCTACCCATCCCCCCCATTGTCACATCTCTGAAGACCAAAACTCCCCACCCTTTGGGGACACCCTCAGGGGACATGAGAGGAAGAACAGCAGAGGATGAGCAGACACATTGAGGATAACAGACTCATAATCTTCATTGTTGAGCAGCCAAGGATGGATGGGTAAACGGTAAAGGATGTGCCTAGAACTTCTCCACCCCCCCCCAATAAACATAAGGTCCTATCATTGTAGGGGCTATTTTTGTTATCAAAACAATCTATGTACAAAAGGTAACCAACTTCAGTCATAGTCAAGGACACACAAGTCAGAACAACGAGAAGCCATTCCTTTGGCAAGAGATCGGCAAAAATTAAAAGGATTGAAGGACACTGGCAAAAATGTTGGAGACTGGGTAGTCTCACAAATTGATGGCAGACATGTGATTTGCGATATTTGCAGAAAGGAATCTGGCAGTGTGTATTGAAATTTAAAGTGCATGTGTATGTTGACCGAATAATACCACTTCTAGGGATTGAGCCTTCAGAAATGTTAGCATCAGGATGTAAGGAATTTGTTCAGAGATATTCTTTGCACCATTGTTTGTAAGTGAAAAAAAAACCCCACACACAAAGACAATATGAACTCCTATCAATATGGGAATTCTTAAAGAAATTATTATACATCCATATAATGTACATACGTACATATATATGATGGTATATCATGCAGATGATAGAAAAAATAAGTTAAAAATCAGTTAACTCTATACATGTCAAACAGGACAGTTTTTTATGGTTTATATTAAGAGGAAAAAAGCAAATGTCAAAGTAATACAAATAATATAGCACTTTTGTTAAAGAAAAGAAAATCTATGTATATTTTTGTGTGCTATGGTTTGCAAAGACAAAAAAAAAAATACGTGAAGACACACAAACTGAATATTGGCTCCTTCAAGGGAATGGGATTTGTGGGGAGAGAGTTCAAGAAGGTTTCTCTGAGGAAAGTCTTTGAGTTGACATCTGGAGATTGAGTTGTCAGTTAAGTGCGGTGGAAGGTAGAGGGTGGGGGAGGGTGTTCCAGGCAGAGGAAACAGCATGGACAAAAGCCTTGAAGTTGGAGGGAACACTGCATTCTCACAAACTGAAAGAATGCCCCCTGGCCTCTAGCCATGCATGGCTGGAAAACAGAATGTGAGGAATGTGGGATGAGGTGGGGCTAGAGAAGCTGGCAGGACCCTGTGGACCTCATTAATGGTTTCCATCTTCACCGTGAGAGCAATAGGATGGACGGACTGGAGGCAAGAGTGAAATAGGACAGGGAGTCCAGGTGAAATCATTATGGCTCAGTTTCAGGCCGGAAATACAGTTCTCTCCAGCTTAATGAAGCACATGTGTAGATCCAGATAAACATTGCAGTAGATGCTGGTGGTGCCTTGAAAGATCCCCAGCATGCGCATTCATTTCCCAGTTGCTGTGTTGGCTGCTAATAGCTCACAGCTGCCCCTAGTATCCTAGTACCTAGTACTCTAGTACCCTAGAGAATTGCTCTTTCCACTGATGGGAGCCACCACTCTGGGCTTAATGCACTTAATGCACCTCCCCTCAGCACCTTGGGTGGTGAGCAACCAATGCCCAGCTGACACTAAGGTACAAAGATCAGCCTCTTGCCTCAAGGTGGGGATGACTTTATGGAGCAATGGGTGGCCCAGGGCTCCCATGGAGTGGGACAAGTTTAGAGCAGGGGTCAGCAACGTTTTCTGTAAAGGGACGGATTGTAAGTATTTTAGGCTTTGCAGGTCATACAGTCTCTGTTGCAACTACTCAACTCTGCCCTTGTAGCAAGAAAGCAGCCATAGACATTACGTAAATGAATGGGCGTGGCTGTGTGCCAAGAAAACTTTATTTACAAAAACAGGTGGTGGCTGGATTTTTGTCTAAGGGCCATAGTATGACAGCCCCTGGTCTAGATTATCTGAGACTGAGACCCCATCCTTGTGTGGTTCCTTTATCTTTCCTATTTTGTTTCCCTCACAACCTTAGAGGTGTGTGTGTGTGTGTTTTACCTAAAGAGCACTGCCTCAGATTCTCCTGCACTTGAACCCCTCTCTCAAACCCTGCTTCTAAGCAATTCAACCCATGACACGTATGGAATATGCTTGGCTTTAGAAACCAATAAACCCAAATGGAAAGAGGCAGGGATACCACAGGCAGACACAGAGATAAGGAGAGTGTTTTTACCCCTGCACATGCATGGGCCATCACACAAGACCAACTGTCTAATGGGAGTGTCACCAAACACATCCAAGTAACCCAGCCTCTGGCCGGCATCCAAAGAGGCGGATGTATCATTCTGCCATGATAGCTCTTTGGCTGACATTCAGCTGGGGCAGGAGAGGCCCAAGATTAATGAAGTAACGGTGGAAAAGGGGTTGCATAAGGTACAGCTTTCACTGTAGCCTGGACCCCAAGATCCTCTGACATTTTCCTCTCCAGAGCAACCTGCTGGAGAGGTCTGTCTACTTCCCCTGGGCAAGTCAGTCCAGACATGTTTTGTGCCTAAAGGTTGGTCCAGGAGAAAGTGGTTTGTTGTAAGTTCTCATTGTTTGCTGTTATGTGGTTTTTTTAGTGGACAGCTACTCTTTTTGTGTCTTCAGAACCACCCCTTCCGTTGGCACTGCTTCATCCCCATTTGAGTCATGAATGAGCTGCCAATCAAGGTAACTGTCTTAGTTTGGATTTTCCCAGAAGTCACTGAGATAAGGATTCAGATGCAAGCATAAGTGGGAGGTGATCTCAGGAAATACTGGTAGAAAGGGGGGGGGGAGTGAGACAGGGAAGAGAAAGGAACAGATAAAAGTGCAGTGCCAAGCACAAGGAGACTCTGGTGAACTGGAGTTTGATCCCACTCTGGAATTCTGGTAAATGGTGTTGAATGCATGTCTCAGAATTCTGTCAGCCCTGGAGCAGGGAGCCCCTTAGTATTTATACACCAATTCTCATTAGTCATTGGTTGAGGGCTGCTTCTGGGAAACAATAATTCCTCAGCATTTGCAACCCACCATGTTCATGGGCAGAGTGAGCTCTGGTGGCCAGAGAAACTCTGACCTAGAGATGTAAGAGCTGGCAGTGGAAATCAGGCCAGGACCTCACTCCTCTGACCACAGAAGTGAGCATGTGACCCAAATCAGACCAATCACAACACCTCCTTCTTCTCACAGTGATTGGGCCAGAAGTGAGCATGTGATCTAGGCTGGGCCAATCAGAGTTCTGCCCAGAATTTTTCTGTTTGGAACCTTTGGAGTCAAGGAGCTATGAGGCCATGAATTTAACTGAGTTTGAACCTACCACGTGGAGAAAATGTTTCTTGATTGTGAGGGAATAAGGACAACAGGAGAGAGGCAGAGGGGGTAGGGAAGCCCCTTTCTAAATAACCTAGTATGCTCTGGAGTTACTGTTACTTGCAACATAGAGTTCTGACTAATGCGTTGTAGTCTGGATTCACTCTGGGAAGCTGGAACTGACCAGAAAGGAGGCTGCTCATGGGGCTATAAGGCAAGTCCTGAGTACTGTGTCAAGATGGAAAAGAAAAAATTTTTCTTTTCTATTTCCCCTGGGTTTTCTACAGAGCTTTGGTAGAGATTTCACACAGCAAGTTGCCTTAGTAGTACATAGAGAATGTCCAAGGACATTCATAAACTAATTAACTAATATCTTAATGGCAGGTCTTTTTTTTTCTGGAAATAGATGCCAAACACTAACCTGTCTAGTTAAAGAGCTGACACCTTCCAAGCCCATCATCCAACACGAGGCTTTTCTCCCATTGTCTTTGCTCCCTCAGTCCCAGATCCCACTCACTATGCTCAAGTCCTGTTTCCAGTCCTACCTGGGGAAATGCTACACACTTCATTAAAGAAAAAAAATCTGTAGAGATGTTCCTTACCACTTGGGACAGCCTTTTATATTATTAAACAGAATATTTAATATTCCATTATAAAGCATTTGCTTTTGGATTATTTCTCCCAAGTCCTGAGCTACCTCAAGGGCAGTGAGTAGTTACTTAATGTAAGTGGGCATGACCGAGGTGGCCCACCAAACTGATCCCTCACAAAAGAAGAGACCAGGCTGCCCCAAAGTCACATTCCTGCCATAGGAACCATAGGAAGCAAATTTCTGGCAGTTTTAGATAGCCATTTTGTGCTAGCTTCCAGGCACTGAATATTCAGAAATATTGAAATCCAGTCTCAGGGCAGCAATCAAGAACTATTAAACAGATATTTGTGACTGGGCTTTTTAAATGTTATTTTCCTTTTACTGAACAGGAAGATGGACCAGACCTGGCAACCCAGTTTCTCTGTGAGTTTTCCACAAATATATCCAGCTAAGGAGGAGAAACAAAAGTGTAGACGGGAGGTCAACCCAGGTTGGCATCCAAGAAAACAGAACAGTAGGGTGAGTGAAGAGTGAATAGTGGGCAAAATCTGGGTTATAATCTGCACATCCAGCCCTTGCCAATTGCGAGAATAAATATAAAGATAGCTAGCTAGCTAGCCAGGTAGATGGATGGAAGGAAAGATATAGATAGATAGATAGATAGATAGATGGACATAGATATAGATTCGAATATATGTAGTATGTGTATTTATATGTATATATGTACACACACATATATAATATTATATATATATATATATATACACACACATATACGTAATTTATTTTGCACAGTCATGACCATAGAGGGAATCCATTAGGACCGACAGTGTCTTGCCCTCAGCAGGATGGTTTCTCTTCTAGACGTACCTTGGCCCCAGAGATATCTTACCCACCTCACCCCTGTAGAAAGGTACTTCCTACCCAAGGCCACAAGAAAACTTTCCCTGCCTCATTATAATTTTGCAACTCATTCTGACCCTTAGAAATAACTAGGGACCTGCTGTTCTGTGATGCTGCATTCCTTCAAGCCCCCCAGTCAGCA